ATGTATAACTAATAAAGATTACTTAAAAAAATTGTATTTGTATTTGTATGTTTTACTCTTTAAAAAATGTATAATAAAGATTACTTTAAAAAAATTGTATTTGTATTTGTATGTTTGACTCTTAAAACATGTATAACTAATAAAGATTACTTAAAAAAATTGTATTTGTATTTGTATGTTTGACTCTTAAAAAAATGTATAACTAATAAAGATTACTTAAAAAATGTATTTGTATTTGTATGTTTGACTTAAAAAAATTGTATAACTAATAAAGATTACTTTAAAAAAAATTGTGTTTGTATTTGTATGTTTGACTCTTTAAAAAATGCATAACTAATAAAGATTACTTTAAAAAAAAAGAAGTCAATCCGTTTTTTAAAAAAACTCAAATAAACCATCTTGCCCTTTACAAAGCAATTCCCCCCCCCCAAAAGAAACTGCCTCTAAATATACAGCGTGAAACTTAAGCGCACCCAAGCGTTTGTCGGCCAATTGTTGTGAAAGCACCGCAAGTGTGCAATTACCGTGTTTCACGGAAAGTGATGACTGTCCCCCCCCTCCCTACCACTCTTTTTTTGGGGGGGGTCTTGTTGGTTGACGGCGGTGGGATTTAGCATTCATTTGTCTTCCCTTTGTGTGTTGGTTGTTGTTGTTGCTGTTCTAAAGCTCGACCTCCCAGCCTCCCAATTGGGGACTGTTTGCTACGACCCCAGCCCCAGCCCACACCCGTGAGAGCCGAGCGCCCCTCGCGCCTGCTGACCGGGGGGACACCGGTTCAAGACCAAGCGCGCGCGGAGGGAAGGAGGGAAGGAAGGAAGGAAGGAAGGAGGGAGGGAGGGAGGGAGGGGGGCGCACGCGCTCTTGTTTTTCTCTCCCCCCCCGACCGGCGGTGTGTCTGCGCCTGGAGGGAGGGAGGGAGGGGCCGGAGGGGAACCGCAGGCTCAGCCTCTCGGGCCGCCTTTCAGCTGCTGCTCTTCTTCTCTGCGCGCCGGGCTGGAAAGGAGGCGAGCGGCTGCGGCAGGAAGAAAGCAAGGCAGGCAGGCAGGAAGGCAGGAAGGAGGCTCGGACGGGAGAGCCAGCGCGGCAGCTGCTCGGGGAAACCTCGGCGCTTCTTGGGGAGTTTGGGTGCTGTGGCTGCGAGCGCCTGGACGGACGGGCGGACGGACGGAGGGGCGCGCACGATGGAGCCTTGGAAGCAATGCGCTCACTGGCTCATCCAGTGCCGGGTGCTGCCGGTCAACCACCGGGTGACTTGGGAGGCGGCGCAGGTGTTCGACCTGGCCCAGACCCTCCGCGACGGCGTCCTGCTTTGCCAGCTGCTCAACAACTTGCGCCCGGGCGCCCTCAACCTCAAGGAGATCAACCTGAGACCGCAGATGTCCCAGGTAAGAGGGGCGCCGACGGCTTTCTTCCGCGTGCCTTTGAATCCCTTCCCTTTGCGCGCCTTCCTACATCCCCGGTCTGCGCGGCTGATATAATGTCTTTGTTCCGATGCAGCGCAGCCGCCGGGAAGGTCCCTTCGGATGAGTGTTGGGCTTCCCCCCCCCCCCCCCCCCCCCCCCCCCCCCCCCCCCCCCC